AGGCTGTAAGAAACGATGGTTGTTTGATCACCTCACTGTCTGTACAAGAGTGGAGATAAATATTTTGTCTGAATAAAGAGAAGAATGTAATGTCACCCTCATCAGACATCCTGTCAATTTTAATATCGTTTTTGAAATATTCTCACTGCCCGCGTAAACTCTCCATTAGTTTCAGCTGTTAAAGAAAACAGAAGTGCCAACCTTGATAAATGGTTCCGCTAAAGTAGGTCGATATGAAATTCACATGTAATAAACACCACAGCTTTTACAAACACTTCATTAAAAATAACCAATAACAGGATACGGGAAAGCATGTATGACTCCTGCAGCTGCAGGAAAATATATTGATGTTAAATTGTACCCGTTTTATTGATAGAATTACACTGATTTACACCGACTGAATTAGGAATATTACCCCTGTTAGATATTTTGTTCTTTGTAGAATAAAAGAGTTTTCCATTTCAGCTCTGTTCAGGCCCGTCGCTTGCAATAGTTCCAGTTAGACGACTTGATTTGTGCTCAGGTTCTGACCAGCATTTTTAACTCTCAGTTCTCCAAGCAAGTCACAAGGGCGCTTGACATTCAGGGATTCTGCAGATGTTTTACTCTTGAGGGTTTAGTAATAATACAGTAATAATGTTTCTATCAGACGTTGTTCCAAGCACATCGTCTGTCTCACAACTCGACCCCTGAAAAACCACTTCAAGCTAATGCTACACGTTTAATATTTAGACAGGGAATGAAAATGCTCAAACTTTTTCTCCCTTGGAGAAAATATGATGCTATAAAGTAGTAAAAGAGGTGATTTTCTTTGACAAACTTTGTGCTCACAAACAACAGCTGTCATTGCTTCTGTTTTCTGGCTGACTTGGTTTGAGCTTTGGGTTTTTCTTCCTTTTATTTAATTTTGTTTTATTGTCAGTTGCTTTAATCTTCTACAACAAAATGTCATAAAAATGTATACTATATTTAGCTGACTAACACATGACTATGTATGCGCTTTAATGAAAGTGATGAGTAACGCCTCTTTAGCATCAACATCATGAACCATCACTGTTTTTTCACAAGCAAAAATATTTGTCTGGGAGGAGGACAGCAGAGTTATTCTATTTTCCAGTAACTCTGGTACTTCCTCCAGCTTCTCAATCAAATCACAATAAACCACAGAAATGTTTATATCCTACCAGAAAATTTCTAAACATTTGAAAGAGTCACTTGCTTCGCCTTGACTCTGGCAACTGAATCCGTGCCTATTACGAAGCATCAAACCTAAATAGACTGGCCTTATTTTATCACCATTTTATTTTTTTCCTCCACAGCTGTTATGTGAGCCACATTGTTTGCTAAAAGGAGCAGACAGCTCTTATTCAAATAAATAACCCATCCGCGAGGACAGTCTGAGAGCAACGGACCTGGGGATTCATCGTCAGCCATCTTTGTTCTCACATGTTGCCGTAGCACTTTGTACGACCGTGACATAATTAGTTGAGGTGAAGCAGGAATGATGTGCTCCAGCACCCCTTGACCCCGCTGCTTCTTCTTGAACAGCATCAACACTAAAGAGGAAATGATACAGTGTACCATCATAAATTATATGTCTAGCATAAAAGGCATGAGTTTCCTCAGCAGCACGAGTCTGTAAAAAGACTGATCCGTACTCATCTGGGATATTTATAGAGGTTTTGAGCAAAGTAGTTCACTCTAAGTGGCCCCTAATTAATTTATATACATTTCTTTTCCCATTGTCACTGTTGCATTAAATAAATCTTGACGCATTTTTGGTGTCTGGTGTCTTCTGTTTTTATGAGGGAGTGGTGTTTAGTGGAGACGCGGGAAGCCAGTTCTCCACAGGCGCGACTGATTTGTTGAGCACTAAATAAGAAAGGAGAAGAGAGTCGACTACATTTGCGCTGAAGTCTTCCACCGAGGCAATTGTCCTTGGACGCCACCAACTGTAGTCGGAGTAAATTACAGTTTAATGCAGTAAACAAATTAGAATGCAGGCATCTAATTTGCCGGCAACGACGAACAGACAAGCAGGAAATCCTTGAGCGATCTACGGCTACCTGCCGGACTGTTCGTTTCAAGGGGACTGAAACGAGCGGAGGACATGGTTAGTCTCTCTTACATGCCCGTGTGGGTTGATATTTCCATACCGCATCTCCTTTTCCTGCTAACAAACCACGAGGGGATTGGGGTTTTGAGACGGACCGTGATCCTTGATACGCAACCTGCTTCCTCTGCTGGTCTTGCGAGGTAATTTTGATATGGCTGCCAGACAGCCGAGATGATACAGATGCAAATATGGGACAGATGAGCCAAAAGGATTACTGTGCCGGAGAAACATGGGAGAAAACAGGATTTATTTTATTTTTTCAAGGGTACACTTTGATGAGATCTGGAGGAAATGTGTTTTAATCTAAAACCACTTTTTAAAGCATCTATAGCACAATATCATTAGCAGATGATAAATAGATAAGTACTGTTCTCAACTTAACTTTGGTTTGCAGGTGATTTATATATCTGCGTGCACATGTATTTCTGCCTTTTAGACACTTTATGATAGATTCCCACCCAAAGAAATCACTTGTCTTTCTTTCTGGATGAAAATCCTTCAAAAATCTAATCATTTGTTTGCTGCATCATACATATTAGACGTATCTAATGACGTTAAATAGATATTTTGTTCCCCAAACCCTTTGATTGAAGCGATATCTTCTTCTACTGTTAGCAGATCAAACAGGCAGCATCTATATCATCTCTGAATGTCCATGTTGCCTGAGTCTTGGCTGGACAGCAATATCTGTCCACCAGCCTGCCTATCTCCACACCAACCATTGCTATACTGGCCAATGGTTGGCATTAGTCCCACTACTTCCATTAAGACTTTGGGTTTCAGCCCAGAGATGCCCCACAAATCCAGGACATGCAAATATAGACAATGCAGCGAGCAAACTGTCTAATTACAAGCATAGAAGATGCCAGTGTGTCAGCTTGCCATGGAGCCAGTCAAAACCAAAACGACAGCAGCGTCTTCGTTGTAGTTTTACATGCTTGCAGCTGTGAATATCCTATCCGGTGTAGCACAAGTCATTCTGGCTCGCTTTATAGTACGCATTTAACTTATACTCTTTTTTTCACTGCATTATCTCGAAGAAGCAGAAAAACTCGTAAAATCTGCCTTTAATTGTGTTCATTTGCTCAAATGAGGCAAGAAACTGCAGAACTCTAGTAGACGCAGACATACTACACATTGTTTCTATCGAGCTTCGTGTCGAGTGGGATGCTGAATAGCTGAGCGTTCAGTAGCAGTCTCAAGGCTGCACAAAGCACCATTGAGACGAGTTCATGTCTGCAGCTGATGATGAATTAAACGTCCCTGAACCGAAGTCACGGAGAGACGGCTCAGACTCGGCAGCGTGGGCTTCGATTTAGCAAGGCCAGAGTCATTTTTATCAGATTAGAGGAAAATCCGTAGCTGCGTTTGCCTGTCTGCTCAGAGGCGCTAATATAGACGGTTGCAGGGCCATACGGGGAGTCTACATATTGAGAGACACAGTCATTCATTTAACAAGGGTAATTACATAAGCCAGACATACACAGCATGGAAACACACCGTGGTGTGTTTATTAGAGTCATTTTTCTTGGTGTTAAACAGCTCACACGAGCTTTTTAGCAGACGGCCAAACCTGGAGATGAGACGAAGGTTTACGGAGCTCTGGAGTCTGAAAAATCTCCTGGTCAATACGCCCCTTTGCCAGAACACACCCCATCTCTGACCCATCCGCTGCCCTCTCGTCCAAACCTACTTCCATTTTGCATTTAATCATTTAATCATTTCTTAGTATTTGTATTGATTGTGGAGATGAAAAGTCATTAAATGCTTACTTGTAATCTAATTTAGTTGTATGCTATTTGCTGGAAACTTTACATTAAATCGGGTTGCCATTGGTTACTGCTCTGATCCCTGTTTAAGCCATTTGACTTGAGTTTAAATTAATCTTAAGCAACTCTAAATGACCTCGTACTTGTGGATATTAACTATTTGTCATCCTCCAGGCGCCAGGCATAACATTATGACCACCTGCCTAGTATCAAACCATTATTTCCTTATGGCTTTGCAGATTATCTTCTGAAAGAGACCACAGACATCAGGAGTGGCATGAGAGTCGTACGCAACAAACTGTGGTACAAAATGAGAACCTGCTTAACTTTGGCTACAGGTACCCCCCATGGTGGTGACGCTGGTTTGGCCTCTCTTTCTTTCTGGGACCAGTAAACTGGAAACCAACCACATGAGATTCTTTGACAAAGTTGCTGCTGGCCGTCTGAATCATGCTCGTCAGGCTCTCGATGCCATTTTTTGTGTTTCTTTAGATAGAAAACCTTTTAAAACTATTTGAATATTGGACTTGAACCTAGTGAGCGGTTTGGTCAGTTGGAGTGCAACGTACTTACTTTTTTGTAAGGTACCTTTACATGAAGTGTTGTGAATTGGCGCTATGTAAATAAACTGAATTGAACTGAACCTGGCTCTTGTCAAACTCACTGGAATCCTTAAACTCGCCGACCTTTCCTGTTTTTAACACATTAACTCGCTGCCTAACATCTCCAACGTGATGCATGATGAAGGGACGATCGGTGTTATTCATGTCACAGTGGTCATAAAGTTATGCCTTGGTGGAGTTGGATAATTCCTGAGAACTGTTGGTTGTCACAGCAGATACGAAACATCCTTTTGATGAATATGAATGGACCAATGATTGGTAGGAGATATTCTGCAGCACTATTTCATTCCCAGAAAATTATGGGACTAAAAGTACGAAATGGCAAAGGGACGAAGTGACCAGCACCACTTCAAAAGAGTCCCCTTGTTTTAGAAATACAGCAATTTTTTTGGGGGGTGTGGGGGGTCTAACTTTTGCTCACTTTTACCTTTCTGCTCTCTCTAAGCATCTGTTTCTTCTCTCTCCTCCTCCTCTTCCACCCCTGTGTTTCAGATTCACCCCAGGACCTAACAGCAAGCTCCCGGTTGCAGGACTGTGCGCCAGGCTCCACACCCTTTCTGAACTTTTTGTCTCCTCCTGTTGAACTGACTAAAACTATCACATCCGTGGCTACCGACTGGCTTACCCCGGGACCGTGGAAAGGATATCCATCCAGATAAAACAGCTTTGCTCACTTGGTGCCAAGGATTTGAAACATCACTAATCCCCCGTTTGATCAATGAGCTCCGCGTCGGTGACTCTCTCCTCTTCCTGTGGCCAGTTTCCAAACCTGCTCTCTTTGTGTTTCTTCACTCTGTCTTTACCTGAAAGCCTGATGCAACTTAGCAGGGGCTCATTTAGAGGCTGGTAAAATACTTTGAAGACAATCTCCCGGCCCACCCGGAAGTTGAACCAGTCGAGGGGGGCACACAAAAGTAAACGCGAGACTCGCACAAGTGGTTGCGCAGTGGAGTCAAATCGACCCTCATTTTCTGTTATTTCTGTGCAGAAATCATTCGTGTTTGACTCGCTGATGGAGACAGACGCCATTTCTGTGAGTGCAGGAGAGGCAGGACTCTCGGTACCTTGGACCTACTGGCTGCCTGTGATGAGATACGAGGACTCTCCTTCTCCCGGTCTGACTTTATGGCCTCGAGCTTCGTCCTCCGTAAGGGACACGTTGGCTTTTACTGCCGGGCATGCCCAATGTAGATTTCATGAGCACCACATTTATTTTATGTAAGATCATTTGTGTAAATAAACACATAAATACACAAAGTACGCTGCAAGATGACAGATCCAAGAGGCTGATAAATGTGCCATCCTAATGAAACATTGACCAGTTCCAACAGGAGCCGCTTCACAATGTACGCTTGTGTTGGGGTTGTGAATGAATTGTAATGATGAGTTCTGGGATACTTTTCTTTTTGTCATTCAGCGATGCTTTCAGTCGGGCACCGGCAATGCTCGATGAGGAAAAACAATGTATAGATCCGCCTCACGTGTGGAAAAGCAGAGCTGACGACGCTTTTCGACCTTTTGGGCCCAGACGCAGCAGGGACTCGGAGCGGCTGTGGATAAAATATGAGCATGATCATAAGAAACGGGAACCGTGTCTCTCTCACGCACGGCAGACAGAAGATTTGCTTACGACGACAGAGAGAAAGTATTAGTCCCAATGGAGAAAAATAGCTATCCCCCAGTAGATATAAGACAGCCTTATGAGAAATAAAATTTGTTTTCTATACTGAAATGTTGTCCTCCGTTTCTCCCGAACGTCGCCGTGAAAGATGTTCCTCTGATCATGGTTTGATATGTCGCAGTATGTGGGTGGAAGATCTTGTCAAAGTTTCATTTACATCATGTGATAACTTTGTGTGAGCAGAGTGTTTTTTGTTTGTTTTTTTTTTTGGGTGGGGGGGGAGATGGTGTTTTTTTGCTCGAGTAAACAGACAATCAACTTCTGCGCAAAGAGAGTTAGAAAATGACTTCCGGGCAGAAGACACGGCGCTGTCTGCCGCAGTCACAAACGAATCTGCGATGCTTCATTTACACAATCCCCTCGGCGGCAGAGTGGATTTATCAAAACAGAACATTCAATTCATTCATGCAATTAGAATAAGGATTTTCAATATCGGCTGGGGGGCGGGCAAAATTCCAGATGATTTTCAATATCAGCCTCCTCTCTCTCAGCTGATATTAGATTCGTCTCTGGTCCCCGTGGACGAGCTGGCGCACATTCATCATTTAGGAACGTGGCTAGTTTGGTGGCGCACGGCGCCTCGCTGAGCAGTCACAGAAGGTATGAAAGAGACAGACACATCAATCTCCCAGCGGCCTTGCCAGAATCATGAAGGAATATGCAAACTACGGAAACAAACAACAAAAACATACGAGAGCTGTTTTCCGCCTTGGCTCCTCAGCGGGTCGCCTTCTTTGTTTTTCAGATTTTTCGTGGAGTTTAACTTGACTTAAAGAAAGGTAATTGGAAGAGTTTGTGATTGGGATGCACTGAGGAGTTGCCTGGCAACCAGACTAGTCTGATTCACAGCCCTTACCTCAAGAAGTCAAAAGCGCGATCTTTCCCTGTTTAGCAACAACTTCACATGTGCAGGTCATGCTAGCAGCTTTTAGCAAGCTACTCAAGGGAAACGCTAGCTATTTTCATTTTGTCTAGATGAAGTCAGAGGAAGCAAAGAAGCTGTGAGAATATTTTCTATAGATGCATTTCAGTTATTTATTCAAGATGCTACTATTCAATATTTAGCTCTTTCATAGATCATTCCTGCCTCGGGACCATTTAGGTTGTTGAATGGACCTGAAGCTGACATCAGCAGAGACTGCACTTCAACTTTCAACCTTTGTCACTGGTTTGAGAAATTATAGAAGTTTGTTTAAAACCCTTCGATTTAATTTGAGTGAAAATAAGGAGACCATCATATTCCTTGTGATGTTTGTCTAGATGAGTCTCTCGCCTCGTACTTAAGCTCAGAGATTTTTCACCACAGTCTATTAGGGAGTGATAATATGCCAGTTTAAATGTTATCTGCTCAGAAGCAAACAGGAAGGACTGAAAAGTAAATTCTCAACAGAATATCAATGCAGTTTTGTGTCCTTGTTGTCCCTGGGAGATCAATTACCCACATGGGGGAGAAAAAAAAAACAAAAGAACCCACCTCAGTTCACTTAAGCTTTCTTATCCTTATTTTTCTTTAACTTGTGATCCAACCCGTTGTTTTCTTCATCCACTATCTGACTTTTTAAGCTTCCTCGGTCGAGGCGGTCACAAAAATCCGTGGAGCTTCCAGAGAATCCCGGGTGCAGATGGGGGGATTTAGAGACTTTTTGTCAGTGCATTTATAAATGTTAACATTGTTTATGCTAATTGCTAATATGGGATGCTAAAGACAGTTTAAAATTTCACCTCTTTACAGAATGTGTCGTTATAAGGCTAATATTGTGTAGCCCCACCGTCTTCAAATCAGACATCTGTGTCAATCAACCCGACTATGTTTGTGCAGCACAATTTTTGTTTGATTTTTTTGCTGAAAGTTACATAGGGATTAGAAAATGAAGAGTTTTTTTGTTTTTCTATTACCTTTCACGCTCTTCTTTGCCGTTTCACGGTAGTGATGCTGTGGAGGGAGGTCCTGGTCCACGTTTAACCGAGGAAAACAGAACTCCGTGTTTAAAAAAAGCGGGTTTGGGCCTCCCTTCCTCTTTGCTCTGCTGCAATCCTACAAAAAAAAAAATCAAGACATCCATCAAATGCAGCAAACCTCCCACGGAAACAGCCAGACAGCAGCATCCATATGTCGCTGGAGAGCTGATCAACGGTTGACAGCAAGAACAAGTCTTTTCACAGGCAACCTGTGCTAAAAATGCAGACACTGCTGTTTGGGAAAGTCACAGGTTTGCTTTGACCTTTAACACTGGGATCACGTAAAAAAAAAAAAAAGAGAGAGAAAGTCATCCACGGTTCCCTTACTGAACATTCATATTCTTAATCATTTTTAAATTACCTATAATTTGAGAGCAGGGCACACTTCTCACCTGCGGGGGCTTTGAAGTCTGTTCTTACAGTCATTATGACTCACTGTGAATGTTCGCTTTACAAAGAGCGTCCACTGAAGCCGGACAGCCGAGAGCCTCCAGAAGCATTAAGAGCACAAAGACCAGCGGTGGCTACTCTGGCTGCTACTTCAGGGATTATCATCAGCCCCTCTGAGGTGCAGCTGCGCTTCTTCAGGCGGCTTCATGTTGCATTATAAATAATCGTCTTAAAGATTGAACCTTAAAAATACTGAGATCCCAGTTATAAGGGAGATTAGACTATTCACAGGAGTTTTCAGCGACTAAACTCCGGCTTGTCAGAGAGTGGATCACTTGTGTCACACGTTAGGTTTGTCACCTAAAACCTGCAGCAAGGCTTCACTCTAAACTGATCAACAGCTTCATCTTAGTTATTTTGCTCAGAAAGGCAGAGCCGTGTGGGAACGACATTTGTAGGACTGAGATTCATCGTGATGAATCAATTGTTGAACTGATTGTTGACTAATTTAGTAATCAATTAATCATTACACGGAGTATACAGACTCAAAAAAAGGCAATTTACTGAAAAAACAATATAGTCAGAGCAATAATTAAGTCAAAGCCGCAGGAAAATATATACATTTTGCATGTAGGATAATAAAAAAAAAAACTTCGTCTAACTACCAAATGCATGTTAGGCAATGAAAACTGTATTTTATCATGTCATAATGGGTTAAATTTTATGTCTATTATTGTCTGCTGGATAATATTTCTGTTGTTCTGTTGTCAAATAGAAATATTATAAATATTTCTGAAAAATGTGCAGAATGTACCGATTTTTTTATCATCAGAATGAGCAATAGAATAATTGATTGCAAAGAAAATCCCTAGATATTTGCTTTATTTCTTTATTTCAGATATCCAGAAATGAACAAAACCAGCAAAGAATCTGTTACTTGACAAATGCATTCATTAATTTGCATAGGAAATTCAGTGAACATAATTATATAAAATGTTTGTCTATACTGACTTTCTGACTAATTCTTTAATGAAAGAGTAAATTCTAAACATCACTAGCGCTAGCTTAATGGATAAGGTTTAAATCAAGACATGTTTAGGTTTACATATAATTCATAATGATGGTCTCACCATTTCACAATTTCTGAAACAATCCAAGTCCTCCTCTGACATTTGGGTCAAAGAAATAATCCAGAAATGTTGTTTTATTTTTATTTTTTTCTAGGTGTGTTGTCTGAAACAGATGAATCCTCGTTCTGATTGGCATCGCAAAGCCAGTCGGCTCCGCGGACCAAATTATTCACCGCTCAGGAATGAATAACGATTATTTATTTCTCTGCTGCTCCAAAATAAATTTGCCTGTTTTCTCCACAAAGCAACGCACGGCAATCTGAAACCCGTCATTTCTCCATGAATGCCCGAGTGTCGAGCGCCGCGTGTAGCTTCCCAACGGGGGGTCCAGTGTTGTCACAGCACAGGCTCCCACTGAGACTTCACAGTTCACTTGCTCTCATTAAAACAGGGGCGTTTTTCACAGCAGCTACTTGACACAGAAACTCAACTGTCAAGTCGAGATTTACAAATTTGTTTGCGATTTTTGGGAGCAAACGAGCGGCAACCCCGAATGGGGAAAAAAGTCAGTCGGAATCATGACTGAGTCGAGATTTTCTGTTGTTGTCAAACTGAGATCAAACATGCAGCCTGATGTTTTATTTCTCCTCCCACATTTGAAAACCTAAATGTCCCTTTAATTGCATCATCTTCACTCAAACATCACAAACATCAGAGTTACTCGATTTTCTCTGCTAGTGCTAATTAGTACTTGAGTGATTTTGTGGACTAGCGTCTCTCTCACTGAAAAAAAAAAAACAAAGTTTGCCGCCATTGGACTCAATCGCCGTGAGGAAAGAAACCGAGATTCTGCAATCGGTGGGAATCCCGTCTACTCTGTTAGAGACTTCATCCTTTTCACAGCACAAGGTTTCCTCTTTACTCGTGTCTTTAGCAGATGCTGGATGAAGGAAGGGACGCCACCCCACTGCAATGTGTGACCAAGATGGCGGCCAGGATGATGAGGAGGTTCTCAGCCGTTGTGTTGTGTACAGTTCCCCCACCTGCTGCTGAGGCCCCATTTGTTTTTGTTTTTTTAAATCAATAAGTTGTTAAACTACAAAGGTCAAACTTCAATCATTTGATCCAATAAATGACAAAGAACAAGATTCATTTGTAGAAGAAGCCATTTGGGGGTTTCCAGTGGGATAAAGTCATTGCTAAAAGAAAAGGGATAACCGAACACAAAGGTTCTTACTTTTTATGTGAAGTATATAAATACTTTTAGATTACAGAGCCTCCTAGGGGACATGGGAAAAAATGTTCTTTTGCGTTGTGTCGCAGTGGGTTTTGCGTTCTGGAGTAACGTACTGATCAGTTCATGCAGCATTACTGAATACTTTAAGTCTTTCTTACGGTGGCCACCGTACCTTTTCGTTTCCATGTATGCTAATATCTTGTTTGTGAGAAATCTGAGATTTCTACTTTCTCTTTAGGATAGAAATGAACCACAAACCTACGAGTTTGTGCAAAATGCGAAAGCAAAACAGGCCAAATCTGAGCTTTCCATCTCCGTTCTCAGATGTAAACAAACTTTCTGTAAGAAGGAAAGAAAGAAAGAAAAACTTCATCCAAACTATTTGGACTATTTCTGAGTTATTTTTACGTCTTATCTGACAGTTTTGATTGTTTTTTGCGTTGGTTGTCTGTTTTCATGTCCAGTTCCGTCTCAAAACGTACATAAACATGCAGTGAATAAATCAGAGGTCAGTTTTTGCACCAAAGACTTAAGAGTATATGAAGAAGTTTTCACTGCGGCTCTTTAAATCTGTAAATATTTGAAATTGAAATCTGTGACTGTATACAAAATATAGACCAGCAAGTTTTGCACTTAGCAATATTTGCTTACTGCGAAGTAACGCAAAGGTTTTGCGAGGAAATGCAAAAGAAGACATTTTCCCCATGTAGGATCTCAGCAAACATATCGATAGTTTTTGAGTCTTTTATCTTATTTATTTGTTGCTATACTTTGAAAAGTCAGATATTACATTTAAAGAATCATAAAACCATCACTTTTTCCTACACTGGTATGCCGGCAGATTTTTCATCTGGACAGCTAGCGTTTCATAGAAAAAGGGAATAAGCAGTGTACAGTTCTTATAATACAGCAGCTGATTGGACCTTGCTTTTGCTTTCTTTTCTTTTTTTTCTTTTGTTTTGAGCAGAGGTCAGACACAATTTCATGTTGTTTGTCCAACTTTGTGTAGAGTTCAGGGAAGCAGCCTGGCCTTCAGGCCAGAGACAAAGCCCTCCGCCGTCAGTCCACATCCTGCCCACACATGCAGTTTATTGCAAAGAAATTACCTTGGGTATGGATAACGGAGGGGAAAGCTACATCATTTATCTTGTCTGCACTCTGCCTGGAAACTTTTATCACGTTATTTGATTTATGCAATTTGATTTAAGCAGTGTGTGTGTGTGTGTGTGTGTGTGCCACAGAATTCCCGAGTTTGCCTATAGACTGCTGTTAGTCTTGCATAGTCGTACGTCTCTAATAAGGAGTTCATGCAGCGCTAATATTTGGGAAAAATACTCTCATGTAAGTTATTAGCATCTCAGTCCATGAAACAAAACACTGTGTTCTTCAACAGAGCAGCCGTCGCACTGTGTGGACCTCATTGTTACATAATATTTGATCTGTGACCATACAGTTCTATTTTTACCCACCGAGTAAAAAAAAAAAAAAAAAAAAAAAAAAAAGATGTGTTAAGGGTCAAAAATGTACTCCATCAGTCTGATACCTACTGAAATGCCTTGCAGAAGTTTTCATGGCCCCCAAATAAAGTTTTGTCACATAATAGCCACAAATTTCAGTATATTTGCGTATTTTGTAAGACGCTACACTAATGAAAATCTAAAAAAAACGTGATGGGAATTTGTGTCTTGCCCCTCTGAGTACATTTGTTTTAGTACCACCTTTAAAGCTGGGATATGCGACTTACCAAGATTAAAAAAAAAGGTTTTCTTGTTTGTTTGTTTTTTGTTTGTCTTTTTACATTTTTATTAAAACTGTCTTTCTGTCATTACAGTACAACATGAGACGGATAATCTGTGAATAAAATCGAGCTCCTCTGCCGGCGCTAGCTAAAGAAATAAACCACTGCTCAGTCAGAAGCAACCAGTCATAGCCAAGAGGAGGGCTTTAGTGCTGTCAAACAGGCTTGTGTACGTGCTGCTCACATGTTCACCACTGCTCTCTGCTGTGCTACATCTTCACAACATCACCCCCACCAGTTGTGGATGCCTAGGCTGGTTACCATGGTTACCTGTGATGGCAGATAAACAGTTTTTCTGTTGTTTCTCTGTCATTAGCACATGGAGCAGCTCATACACAAGCATGATTGACAGCTCTAGGATCCTCTGGTCTGGTTGCTTTTGATTGGGAGGGGTGCATTTCTTCTTTCTGAAGAAAGGAACTTGATTTTTTTTTCACAGATTATCTGTCTCATACTATGCTGTCACCACAGGGTGACGGTGTTATCAAATATGTAAAAAAACTTGTATTTTCTTTTTTTTTTAATAAAAGTTACATATCCCAGCTTTAAAGTCCTCCACAGCTTCCTGCCTGACTTGTCAGCCATATTATTTTATT